ATGTGTTGATGTGTTAATGTACAGTGTGAGCGTCTGTTGTGGCTGAAAAGAAAACACTGGAGTGAGATTATATCTCAAACACATGTCTATTCATAACTAAGCCTTTAATTCAATGTGTTTTTTGTCACAGTTGCACATTTAAGATTCAATAATGGATCAATCAGCGGTCACGTTTCTCAGCATGGCTGCGGTCAAGAGATCCGGTGAAAACTTATTATTTTCATATTATCAGAGTGATATTTTACTTAAAAACTGAACTTTGTTGCAGAACAGACACTTTCTGTTTTGAAATATGTTTTTCCTTTCAACAGTATAGAGGATGTGGCCCTCTTCTTATTTGAATAAAACTTTATTGGACTTGTCAACGGATGAAATCATTCAGATGTTTTGTTTTGAAGTGCAGTGTGGACTTATGTTGTATTATTATAACTTTAATTCAATGTGTTTTTTCTTTAAAAAAATGAAAGCATGTTTCTAGAATGAACTTTTTCTTTTTTTTCTGTTGTGTTTCAAGATGTTTTTATTCCAGTGTTTACATTATTTCTCATGCACACAGATCACAACAGAGGAGAACACGCTGCTCTCTCTCTGCTGGTTATCTGGACTCTTGGCTCAGTTTGTGTGGATGTTGCAGCTGCAGTGAGGATTTCTGGAAGTGATCTGGACATGTGACCTTCCACACAGGAAGAAGAGTCAATAAATGAGTCAGAGATTCCTCCTCCAGTGGAGAAACCAGACAACAAACCCCCCGCACAGCAGCAGCAGGATGCCGTGCTGCGGAGTCCTGTGTCAGTATGAAACCAACAAGCTGGTCCGGATCCAGAGCGTCCGGCTCGGCTCTCTCAAGTGGAGCCTGAACGCAACCATCCTGCTGTTTATCTGGTGAGTGAACGCCACATGTGAGCAGTTTCTGAGCTCCGCCGATCCGTGCAGATCTGCGCATGCGCTGTGATCGGCCGCTCTCTCTGCTGCTTTCCAACAAGTTAACGGGTGAAACCGAGAAAAGTCACGAATACACTAACTGATAATCAATAACACTGATTATTGGTGTTTGAATGGAGCTGAACCGTGGTGACACACAGAATAGTGTGTCACCACGTGACACACTATTCTTTAACATGTATTTTATTTTGTAGGAACAGCTCGTTTTTGGTACACGTGCTTTTATTGCTAAATCATTTCCGGTTTATCTTTAAAGTACTTACTTTCATACTAATCTCAGAGAGTACTGAGTATTTTACTGAGTATGTGGAAGAAATACTCTGTGGAAAGTTTTTATATTTAGTTTTTTTACAATGATCCCTGTAATATTTAATATTACTTTTGAATTTATATTTATAATTTCAAAATGCCCAGTGGTGACCTTAAGTTAATTAAGGTATTGTTTAAGATATGTTGTTTTTTAACTTGACAGTAATAATAAAATTAATAAGGTATTTTAAGTTGTAAATGTGTTTCTTAGCGAACAGTTAAGTTTTGTAAACGTTTTTTTTCTTGATTGTATTCCTTGAATGTAGCTTAAAATATGAGAAAATATATATTTCTTTCATTTTGCAGTTTAGTTTTTGTTTCATTGCTCTTCAAAGTGTATTTTGAGAATACATTTATAATTTAAGACATTTTTTAAAGAAAAATGTTAGAAATTCTCTGTTTGTTTCTTCTCTAATTTGAGGAGCTGTTGGATTTCTCTGTTTTATATCTTTGGAAACAAAAAGATATGCAAAGAACTGTTATATTTGTGCACAAACAGCCTGTATTTGGTCATTTGGTATCAGTTCAGTTCTGAGTTGCATTTAAAGTCATTCCCGGTATATTCTTACAGTTTTGTCTTCCCGACAGGGTTTAACTTTTTTATTGTTCAGTGAACTAAGAGAGTTGAGAATAAGTTACATTTGAATTTGAGTGAATTAGAGATTTTATTTTTTATGACTGAAAAATTTGGCATATAAATTCATGACATCAGTGAAATGTTGAAGAGTGCCATCATCTGGATTTGCATACAAATAAAATATCTTTAAGGTTCAAGGAATAAAGAAAAACAGTTGTGAGTCTCCGCGTCTGTCCATCTGCATTACAGAGTTTTATTTTGTGTGTTTTGTTCTCCTGCAGCATGATGCTGCTGTGGAACAGGAAATACCAGGAGTTTGACCTGGTGGTTAGCTCCGTCACCACCAAGGTGAAGGGTGTAGCTCAGACCCAGCTGCCCGGGGTCGGGGACGTGGTCTGGGACGTGGTGGACTACAGCGGGCCCGCACAGGTAGGGAGGAGGTTCCTCAGGGTCCTTTTTGGTCCTTTTGGTCCTCCGTAAGTTAAGAAGTTTCTTTGTTCTTTTCAGGAGAAAAACTCCTTCTTCGTGGTGACCAACGTCATTGTGACGAAGAACCAGAAGCAGGGGAAGTGTCCCGAGGTGCTCGTCCTTCTTCATCATCGTTAATAATGAGGTAGCAGTGACGGTGACTCGGGTGAAAAGTCGTCAGCAAACCGTTCTTACTTTGCAGCAGTGTTTATATTCCAGGTTCCCCCGAAGGACAGATTGTGTCGCAGTGATAAGGACTGTGAGAGAGGAGGCTGGGATCAGCAGAGCCACGGTACTCTCTCCTCCTGTTACATTTAAAATGACATTAACGTAATGTTTTGGTGTTCTCATCTTAAAATCTGTTCTTTTAACTTTGTTTATTTACCGTGTTTCACCGTCGTCAGGTCAGTAAATCCTCCAGTAAACAGAGACAGATGATTAAAGATGATTAAAGCTACTCAGATCTTAAAGTGACTGTGAGGAGCTTTTGTCTGACTGTGAGACCCTGCTGCAGTAAAATGAGAGGTTTTCTAAAGAGATTCTGTTGCTCAGAAACACTACAGCTTTAGTCCACAGGGGGCGCCAGAATCAACAGAAAGTGAAAGTTCCTTGTAGTAGCTTTAAGTATCAAAGTAAAAGTACACATATAATATTGAATATCATATAACTATTATAATTATTGATGCATTCAGCTGGTGAAGGTGGAGCTCATTTTAGATACTTTATATACTGCTGTGTAGTTTGTGAATTTCCCCCTCTGGGATCAATAAAGTTTTATTTTAATCTAAAATAATCTAAACAATACATCATATTTATTTGTTAATTATATTTTGTATTATTAATCTGAATAAGTTATCTAAGACCTTGCAGTGGAGTAAAAAGTACAATATTTATATCTGAGAAGTAGAAAGTAGCAGAAAACGGAAAGACTCAAGTACGAGTACCTCAAAATTGTACTTAATCACAGTACTTGAGTAAATGTACTTTCCAGCGCTGCATGCAGCAGATCTGGAACCAGATGTTCTCGTTCACTCCGGCTCATTTTAACTGTGAAACCGACTCATTTCAACGTGTCGAGGCGTCTTTGTGTGACTTTGGGTTGCGGATGGAGGATCTTTTTATCTCACTTCTCTGCCGGCGCACAGAGGAATGTATCGTTACTGTGCTGTAGATTTAGACAAGTCACTCTCAGCCCTCTGCTAAATCAAAGCTGTTGGCGCCTCGTCAGCTGCTGCAGAATCAGATCGAGCGTTTTGTTTTCTGTCTCAGGGATCAAGACGGGATCGTGTCTGAAGTTTGACGTGTTGAGGAAAACCTGCGAGGTCTCTGCTTGGTGTCCCATCGAATCCAGGACCAACCCTCCGAGGTGAACTCCACCGTTTCGTTGTCGGATCAGGATTTTGTCACGAAACCTCTGACTCAGCAGGAAGTCATCTTCTCTTGATCCTCTGACGATTAGTTTCGAGGCACCAACGGGTCAAAATTTAACTTAAAACAGATTTTTATTTTTGGCCACTTGGGGGCAGCAGAAACAAGTCGCGAACACAACGTTGACACATCATCATATTTTAAATTTGATTAGATTTTTATTTTGAATTTGAAATCACAACAACTCAGAATAGTATCATGACACAAATCCCATTACATAATGCCTCATTTGCATATTTAAACATTACATTTCAGAAAACTTGTAATAGAATAAATCCTCCTCTTAATGTGAGTGATGAAGTGGTGAAGTTTCATGGTGATATCTATG